GTACTTACTTTTTGTTGTTTGACTAACTTCAAACAATATTTATAAAAATACAAACATAAAGAAATGCTTTTATTATGAAAGGGGTAAGCTGGGAGCATTAGACAGAGCTGTAACCCTGGTTTGGATTGGCCAATTTACCACAAATTATCCCACCCACCTTCAAATTAATTCTTAGCACTTAGCGGTTAGCTTCAACTAATTTCGTAATCTGTTTCTCGGTTTAGCGTTAGCGTAGCTACAAGCCTATTAGCGGTTAGCAAAGCTAACTTTTTTGGTTAGCTGTGCCCGCCACTGTCAACATGCTACATCATTTGCGTTATTTTCTGAAAGAGACATGGCTGAACAAAAAACGCAAAAAGACGTTAATACACTTGTCACTGCTGAAATCAGGAATTTAAAAGTATTTCGAAGCAGTAAAGACTCTCCTGTCAGTACTTCCTCTCTGACACAACATGCTGGCATTTAGACTGGTGTTTGCGTCACATGTTGTCCTCCATTTCCAGTCCCTCCATCCAGGACTCTTCCTCCTTCATTAGTCCCATCTGTTCCACCATCAGTGTGTGTGTGTTTGTTCAAGCGGCGACCCAACTGACCTGGCTTCTTGTTGACATCGGCCGTGAACAGCCAGTCAGCTGCCTTCTTGGCGTCTGGTCCAGTGAGATAGAACTTCCCAAAGTATGACATGTTAAACACGGCCAAGCTGTTTCTACACGAGAGACACTCGCTCTTAATCTGGAAATCAAAAAAAATAAAATAAAATAAAAATTCAACAGGCTCATTAAATAAAAAACACGCCATTTCTAAGGCAACTGAACCTTCGGCACAACTTTGAGGCAGAATTCATCACAAATAAAGGCAGGATAGCAGATTTTTGCATCAAGGCGTTCTGCTTCCCTTACGTCTGCCAAGCTGCTAAATTAGCTTACCGCCTAGAAACTCTTCATGCACCATTAAACTTGCACCGCATTACTATTACTTCTTCATGACTTTTCCTCATAAAATACAAAAGTTTTTCTTCTTGAACCCCCTTCAGAATGAAAAATCTTAAAATTTTAAACAACTTCCTGTTTTAATCACTGACAAAACAGACGTTTCCCCTCAGTCTGACTAGAAACACACAAACACAGCTCTACCCTTTTTATTTTACCACATCATGATGAGGAGGGAAGTCGAAGGTGTACTCTTTGCCCAGGAGGTCATTGTATTTGTAGTTCACATTCGTCTCAATGTCGTAGGCTCCATAATAATCGTAGTCTTTAACCTGCGGTAACACACACGAGCTGTTAGAGGCGATAAAATGACGTTTATCTGATAATGTTAGCATGTGGTGCAGCTCTCACAGGAACAGGGCCGTCTTTGTTGAACCAGCCGGGTCTCTCCCAACCATGGCGCTCTTGAAACACACAGCCCTGCTCAGTCAGCACCTGGAACAACCGTACACACACACACACACACACACACACACACACAC